ACCACGTGACAACGGAGGAGGTCCTGAAAAAGTACGAATAAGTCTATGTGTGTGCGTTTATGTGTAATGACTGGCATATGTACAACAGAAGTCGGCTTAGACAAGGCTGCATACTTCCACCTTTTCTGTTGCTTTACTGGTGTGGATGTGGGCGGGTGTGTGTGTGTGTGTGTGTGTGTGTGTGTGTGTGTGGTGGAGGAGGAGGGGAATGGCTGCCTTTACAAGCCCGGTCGAATGCCATGCCGCAGTTTAACATGAATACCCCACTCCGACACAGTACACTGTATTCGACCTGACCAGTCCTTGGTTTATTTCATTCATGTCAAACTTTCATGCCATTTAAGACGAATTTTGGGCATTTCATTTGTACGATTTTAAAGCAAACGGATTTTGCAGCCCGTAATGAAAGGATTTTTCGAGTGGTCAATCCGATATTTATTGGACCAGTAAATGACATGCTGAAGAAAGATGTCCTCATATCTAATGTTTTTCATTTCCACTCAATAGTTGATGGAGAAACCAATATTGAATATAGAAAGGGAATTGAAGAAAACGCTATGGGTTAATGGGGGTTGTATCTTGAACCGTATGTATATAAATAGGCCATCCTGTTTCCATTGAAAAAATTAATGCATACCGGAAGACTTCTAATGCAGTCTTGACAAAGATTCAAGTGATTTGTACATATGTAATTACTTTGACGATTGATTTGTTTTAGCTCAATATACAAACGTTTGTCTCGCTGTCTTTTTATATCACGACATTAGTGAATACATACAGGTCAGGACCAATTATCCCCGGTTAACGGTAAATTTACTCCTTTACGTTAACGGAATAATGTTGTCAGTACAGAAATGGGTCACGTTATAAAGTATCTTGCCACCATTTCTGAAACTCTTTTCGGGGAATCTTTGGGATCAATTGTAACTTAATTGCCAAACTGTTGTTTCCACTATTGCATATTTTTAAGAAAGCTATGAAACAGGCCACCCTCTTGATCTGTTGTCATTTTCAGAAATTACTTGATATCGATGTTATATAAGTGTTAAAAGGTTTTTTTATTGTTTGTACCCTCAATTGACATTTATCGTTGCAGCTTCGTTTCTGTACGTTTTAGTTGATCCCACTAAAGTAAAAAGAAGGGTACGATTTTGAAAATACAAAATTATCCTCGTAACATGTAGAGGTTGGGGGAAGTATACGACTTATTATGCGTCGTTCGTTTCGTCCAATTCCCATATACGGACAAATGTACGCTAATGTGCCCTGGGGTCGGGATAGGGCGTTGATCCCACTAAAGTAAGAAGAAGGGTACGATTTTGAAAATACAAAATTATCCTCGTAACATGTAGAGGTTGGGGGAAGTATACGACTTATTATGCGTCGTTCGTTTCGTCCAATTCCCATATACGGACAAATGACGATGTTAATAGTGTCATGAATACTATTACATTATACATTATGACGACAATGTTGTGGTAATGTATATTTATTATCCGGCATATAATGCAGGAAAACTTCAAATCCAGAACGATTTTTCATCAAACTTTTCTATATGTATTAACCATCGGCTGAAGTGGTGCCTTTTGCTATTTTGGAAGTTTTCAAAATTGTTGCCCTTCTTTTATGGTAACAAGTTGGGTTAAGCTGAAAAGGAGGTATTTTCCGGGGCAAAACTAAAATAAATATTCAAGATTTTTCATCCAGATTTGGTACATTAATGTAAACATATGTTTTCCTGTTTGACTTTGACACTGTTCATATGGGTGTGTTTGTCTCTAAAATCAATAGGTATTCTTTCATGCAACTTTGCACACACCAAGACCAGGTTGTCACCTGGTGTCTTCTGCTATATAGGGATTTTAAGTTTACATGGCAAAAAGTTTGACTTTGTTTCTGTTGATAGTGCGTGGGGTGTTTGTCAGGACCATATTTCTAACACAAATAGGTATTCGTTCATGAAACTGCACACACAAAGAACTGGTGGCTTTTGCTATTTAGGGATTTTTAGTATTATTATTTTTCCTTTTCATGGCAACAAGTTTGACCTTGACTCTGTTCATGTTGGTGTATGCCTGAAATAGAAATATAACGTTCCAAATCACAATTCCATTGTATAGCAAAATAACTCTTGTATACTATTACTATACTCAAATAACAGTCAGATGATTTGTTCTTGCGATTGTGTCGGCGCCGGGGGATTTGTCATCTTCTGTTGACTCTTGTTAAAGAATACTAAAACTGTTGCTAAATATATCGTCAAATCAGTAAAAGCGACAAAACCCTTTACATATTCATAAGAAATCTCTGCCTAAAGCAGAGTCGATTGTAAGATTTTGATTATGTCACGAACATGTGTTTATAAATCACTATCTTACAGGGATGAAACCAGGAGATGGAAACCGTCACGAAGACGCGCAAAGACAAGTCAATTGTTCTCGGGAACACCTGGTAAAAGTCAAAAGAGGGAATCACATCGGACATACTTTATTCTGTTGACCCCTAGCCGCTTCTATATTACACATGTTCCAACGTAGAATGCCTCTGCAGTTATAATTATCCAAAAAGCGGTTAGCGCAGTGTGTATGGAAGCTGTTGTACATTACTCCTTAAATGTTCAGCAAAGTGTGTGAGGAAGTTTGAATTTATTCAATAAGCGTTCAGCGCTGTGTGTGAGAATTTTTTCGAAAATTGTCCAATAAGCGGTTTGCGCTTGGTGTATGGAATATGTTGTATATTATTCAATAAGAGTTCAGCGCTGTGTGAGAGAAAATTGTAGTAAAACGTCCAATAAGCATTCGGCTCTGTGTGTGATGAAGTTGTTGTAAATTCTCTAATATGGCTTTATTATCCACTAATGCTGTGTGAGAGAAAGAACTATATTATTCAATAAGCGCTTAGCGTTGTGTGCGAGGAAGTTGACTGTACTTGGGAGCTTGATTCCCTATCACTATTCTGTGCTACACGCCTGCCATTCCCGTTGGTTACGCGTTGCGTTCTACAGTTGCTTAACCCTTGTGCAAATACGTCGAGCACACACGTGTCTTTTCCACAGACCGTGCATGTAAGGGGAATCAACTTCTGGTCTGTAGTGTACTATATTGGTTCTCAAATGTACGGGGGCACGGGTGGCCAAGTCGTCTAAGGCGCCGCGATTCGCTGTGCAGAGTTGCGTCCCTTGGGCACGCCAGAAACCTATGGTTGTGGGTTCGAATCCCGGTTCGCCCCGATTATGTTTCTAGGTTTGTCAGCACCATACCCGTGCTCGTGGGTTTCACCGAAGTGGTAAACGTCTGAGACCTGCATCACTTCGAGCTTTCCTCCCACATTAAGCTGACACGCCGTGATATAACTGGAATACTGTTAAAAGCGGCGTTAAACCCAACTCACTCACTCACTCACTCACTCAAATGTACAGATGTGAATGTTGGTGTGATGCCCGCTAGGTATTGTGATAAACATTTTGATTGGCTTTATACCAGTTACAAACTGAGGAGCCGTTGTCCTCATGTCCGTTTATAACTATTTCATGCATTCCAGTTATTGTGACTATATATTTTCAGTCTTTATGCCAGTTACACACTAAGGAGCCGCTGTCCTCATGTCCGTTAATAACTATTTCATGCATTCCAATAATTGTGAATATATATTTTCAGACTTTATGCCAGTTTCGCACTAAGGAGCTGTTGTCTGCATACATGTAGATGTCATTCAATGACTATTTCACTGCGTCTACATGCAAGGTTCTTCAAACAAGATCATTATGTTCAGTAATGGGCATCTCATTTGTGAATGGTATATCGAACGTACACATTTGTATGTTTCTTGATGTTTACAAGCAATCCATATTCAACCGGAGTTAATTGCGTCTGCATTGTTTGTTAGTTAATGTTGATATGAAAAGACCCCCCGAATACCAATGTTACTGAAGATGGATTTCTGAAATTTCAGTGATGTCTACGCTAACAACGTACATTATGTCACCGGATACACACACAGAGGAGATATGTGTTCTTGTGCACAATCGGGAATCACCGCGGGCACACTAAACACAGATAAAAACACAAAGATAGAAAGGTTCAAAGTGTGTTATGATACACACTCTTAGACTGTACTAGATTAATTAAAGAACAAATCAATGTTTGCTGTTCAACTATATTCACTGATGTCAGGACAAGTTTAAGATGCATAAATCGTTCCCGAATTGAGAAGACACGTAAGTACTGATTATCGAAAGTCTCTGCGAATCAGTCAGTACGACCTAAAAAAGGTTGTAATCTTAGAACATCATTGCGAAACCCCTAAATAAAACAAGTTCAGTATTGTATTATATTATGTGACAGGCTTTCTTGACATGTGTACACGCATTGGTGAAGAAATATATTCATCGGGAGCTTTGTAATCTGAGATCGATTTCGTAACTGACTGGCAATAATTCCATCCATTTGTAACTCTCTAACGTCCCAACGTAAACACGTTGGCTGTAAAGAAAGCGACAAAACTCTTTCAGTAAACATAATAATGTCGACTGAAAGCAGAGCCCATATACGATTCCGACTTTGTCAAAAGAATGTGTTCAAGAGAGACTATCAAAAAGTGATTAGAGAGAGTTGGGTTTAACGGCGCTTTTAACAGTATTCCAGTTATATCAAGGCGTGTCAGCTTAATGTGGGAGGAAAGCCCGAAGTGATGCAGGTCTCGGACGTTTACCACCTTGGTGAAACCCACGAGCACGGGTATGGTGCTGACAAACCTAGAAACATAATCGGGGCGAACCGGGATTCGAACGCACAATCATAGGTTTCTGGCGTGCCCAAGGGACGGAACTCTGCACAGCGAATCGCGGCGCCTTAGCCTTAGACGACTGGGCCACCCGTGCCCCTTATTCATCTCGACCACTCCAACTTTTATTAAAGGGAAATACCCGTAAACGATAAAGAGACCCAGGAAACTGAGGTACACCATGCATTACCATTCTTTTGAAACAGGATGGTCTGGAAATTTTATTTAATGAACATCATCAAACAGTACAGTGTTGATTAAATGACCTGAATGACATGCCAGTATCTGTGACGACATTCTTGGCGGAACATTGGCAATGTTAGATGTTCCAATGGTGTTCTCCATGAGTAATTTATGTAAATTCAAATGTCAACGCCAGAAAATAAATAAGTCCCGCCGAGAGAGGTCCCATAGAGCATCATAAGGGAAAATAGTGATAGCACTCTCGGATTCCATCAGGTTAGCATGTCACGAAATATTCACTGAAAAGTGCCAGGGAGTAAGGAGCTGTTAAAGCTGCATGTGAAGATCAGAGTATAGGAGATAATCACGTTGACAAGTTTCACGTTGTATTTAGAATGTTAGTTGTCCAAGCACAGATCCTGTTCATAGGCATCCCATACGGGGTTTCCCGCTGTCAGCCCACTGCTGTTTCCGTTAGCCGAGATCTCGCATATTCGGGAGTCACTTCTAAAATTAAAGGCAGGACAGTAACCATGTTCCAAGCAGTATCGTGCACAGTCCATGGCGGACCTGGTCTTCATCTCAACAGGCCCTGTTAGATCGAACTTCTTTTCCGGTATCTGCTCAAATATGGCACCTGGAAATACGATGTGATATAGTCTATCATGATCAAGCACAATATATGCAAGTGTAATGTTAATAAATGTAATGGGTATTAGTAATATTCGTCCCATGACTCTGTTTTGTTGATGTAGAAAATGCCATTTCATGAAAACAATGTGTCACCTTACAATGCATTGGGTGAACTTTAGTAACTCCTTATCAGCTGTGGCCCGTGAAGATTCCGGGGTAGAATATATAGGTCTTCAGCAACCCATGCTTGCCGTAAAAGGTGACTATGCTTGTCGTAAGAGGCAACTAACGGGATCGGGTGGTCAGGCTCGCTGACTTGGTTGATGCATGTCATCGATCCCAATTGCGTGGATCGATGCTCATGATATCAATCACTGGATTGTTTGGTCCAGACTCGATTATTTACAGACCGCCGTCATATAGCTGGAATATTGCTGAGTGCGGCGTTCAACCAACCAACAAACAAACCAAATAACATTTGCAGGTGACAATAGTTGATGTGATAACCTGAATAACCAACCAACCAACCAACCTTATCAGCTGTACATAAGCTGTCGTCTATGAGAGTTTTAAAGCCGACGTTGCTGTATATCAATTTAGGATAATGACACGAAAAAGCGTTCCCCGATAAGCACAATATTCTAACTCATTATTTGTAAAAGCTTACGAATTAAACCGTCCACTTTGCCCCAAGGAAACGTCTTGATATACTAATTGTTCCACCGCCAAACAAATTAAATGTAGGGCATAGCCACAAGTGGCGGAAGGCTTAACGCCAATAAGGCTTGGTGAAAGTTATGGTACTAACAGCTCAATTATTTGTAACGGGTCGAATTTCAGATTCAAACCTACGGTCATCATATCCTGGCATCGTTAATGGACGTAACTCTGTAGAGAATCACCCGTGTCTAATTACACATAACGGCTACATTTTCATGAATGTGCCAAATGCGATGTGCCTAAAATCAGTTGCACATGTGAATCAGTTCAAATGAAAATTAGATGTTTTTACCGGGACGTATGTCACTGAAGTAGAAAATTCACATTGTATGTCTGTATTACACCATGATTACCTTTAAGTTCTGTTTCCAATTCATACACCTCGACCTCACATAAGAACATTGGATCGTTCTGAATGAAGCGAACATAGCGCCCTCTCACAGGCGTCGAACAGTAGATGGTTTCCGCCACTCCGTTAGAGAATATTCCAATATACTCAAAGCAAAGTTTTGGACTTTGTGGACACTGTGGATCGGGGTATACGACCAGTTGAAAGTCCTTTGGTAATCCATCTGTGAGAAGGTCGTTAATGGTTTAGGGCTATCTATTACATCACAACAACAACAACAACAATAAAAAACAATAATAATAATTCAACAATAATAATAATTAGTGAATAACGAATGAGCAACGAGGATTTGCGGATCATCTGCCCGGAGTGAACATTTTAAGAAAGATGATGAAGACAAACATGTAATCCTCTTCGACCCGACCCGCACATAAATACACTTCGCAGTTTTGTATCCAAGGGTGGATTTCTCTGTTCTTTGATATCATCATCAGTCTTGTTAGCCAAAGTTACATTACTCTTAACGACCTCAGAAAAGTAGGTACATTAAAAGTTATTTTGTACAGAAAATACTTTCATACCATCAAGTATCACTTGAGTGATTGAGTATTGTTTTACGCCGCTTTTAGCAATATTCCAGCAATATCACGGCGGGGGACACCAGAAATGGGCTTCACATATTGTACCCATGTCGGGAATCGAACCCGGGGCTTCGGCGTGACGAGCGAACGCTTAAACCACTAGGCTACCCGACCGCCCCAAGTATCACTTGAAGGTTAGGGGTGAGCCTGTACAAAGTACTCCGTAATCAGTAAACAACAATTGACAATTATTTCAACCATTAAAGGATGTATTTTTCCACCGTCCTTCCGTCTGTCCTCCGTTCGTTTTCCGTTTCCGGAGCAGAACTCCACAACCGTGGAATATTTCTTGCTACTCAGATCAGTATAGTGGTGAACTCGGACCTTTGAATGATTTGGAAGTTTTAGAAATACTTAACAGCATTATGTTTTTCTTCACTGAACTTGGCATGTAGGTAAATCAAGTTCATTTTGTATCGCATGTGTACCGTTTCACATAAGTATGCACATCCATTCGATATTCCATTATGTTGTACATACAGTATTTGGATAGCACACCGTTTAGGCAAAGCTGTCCGATTAAAATGTTCTCATCGCAGTCCTTTTTATAGGTGTACAACTGAAAGAGGCAACATTTGCTGTTTGTGAACGCATAACAAAATCTAGCACTGTCTGGCTTTTCAAACCAGTCTTATAAATGCAATTTGTTACACCCTCAGGTGGGAAGTTGATTATTCTTCATCCCTGCAGAATATTACAGGTAGACCCAGTGCAAAGTTTGTACAGGATAAAGTAACATCAGCAGCAATCCTGAGACGAATATCTCATGAGAGAAAACCAGTAAGTAACTAGATATGAAAGAACAACCGTCTTGCAACAGTAGTACTCACGTGGATATTGGGCAGGAGTGATCCGGACACTGCCTACTCTGACCGTCACCAGGAGGTCCACTTGCCACCATCCTGAAAGACTGAATGTCTCCACGAAGGTACAGAACAAGTTATTAGAAACATCCATGACTGTGATGTTCAACCCATCCACGGCTTTGTCCGGTCCCGTGGGACTCGATGGGGTACTCTGCGTTGCCGGACGGAGGAGTGCAAGATTTGTTGACCCTGCAATCAAACAACATATGGTTGTATAGTAGCTGCCATTAATAATATAGTTGCAGGGGACGGAGTAAGTGAGATTCAAGGGATGACTCACTCAAACAACTATTCAATTCGTTGTGAATTAAACACTATACAAATTGTAAGAGGGTGAGAAAAGACTTTTATATAAAAGCGACAAGTAACATTTCCAAGAGGCGACTATGCTTGTGATTGGCGACTAAAGGGATCGGGTGGTTAGGCTCGCTGACTTGTTTGATGCATGTCATCGATCGCAATTGCGTGGATCGATGCTCATGAGATCAATCAGTGAACATAAGAAATCTCTGACAAAAGCAGTGTCGATTGTACGACTCTGAATATATCATGAGCATGTGTTTATGAATCACAATCAAATAGTGATGGCACCAGGTGTTCACAAAAAGGCACTCGTCACAAACACATGCAAAAGCAAGTCAATTGTTCATCGAAACAAATACAACACGGAAACATATCGTAGAATAGGGAATTGCATCGGACGTCATTGTTGTAATATATTTGAAAATGTCCTCCTCATGTCGACCATAAACCTTTATTGAAAGCTTTACTGGGGCCTTGAATGTTGTAACCTTGATCAAACAACTTCTGAGCAAGAGTCGTATGACATACATATACATACATATATACATACATACATACATACATCATACATACATACATACATCATACATACATACATACATACATACATACATACATACATACAGCATAAAGCATACATACATCATTCATACATACATACATACATACATACATACATACATACATACATACATACATACATACATACATTATATACATACATACATACATACATACATACATACATACATACATACATACATACATTATATGTGTGTGTGTGTGTCTCCATACCTGAGGACGGTTCCATACATATGAGAAACAAAAACACTATTTTCCCAAGTATATCCGGAAATGACCGAGTGTTCCCCATGCCACAGAGCAACATAACGCCGGAGTGACGAGACGGTTTGATTTACATGTAGATATAGCAAAGGAATTGATTTATTTTGTTTACAAAAGGTTGGTGCACTGTCAGAGGCTTGTGTATGCTATACTGTCCATTGTCTAATGGAATTAATAGATTTGTTTGTAACCATCGCGACATGTTCAAAATATGGAGAGTTTGTATGGATTATTCCTAGCAAGGGCTTTGTCGTATAATCCTTAGGTATCTACGCGTGACCCGTGAAGATCCGGGGCAGGTTACGTCTTCAGCAACCCATGCTTGCCGTCGAAGGCTACTATGCTGGTCGTAAGAGGCGACTTATGGGAACGGGTGGTCAGGCGTGCTGACTTGGTTGATGCATGTCATCGATCCCAAATGCGTGGATGGATGCTCATGATATTAATCACTGGATTGTCTGGTCCAGACTCGATTAATTTACAGACCGCCGTCTTATAGCTGGAATATTGCTGAGTTCGGCGTTAAACCAACCAAATAACATTTGCAGGTGACAATAGTTGATGTGATAACCTGAATATTGACAAATATTGAACAAAATATATTTTTATATGATGAGATGGCTAATTTACGGTTTACCCCGTATCTTCACGGGCCACCTGCAAATGGATAGTTTGTTGGTTTGTTTATTTGTTGTTTAACGCAGCACTCAGCAATAATCCAGCTATATGACGGCGGTCTGTAAATAATCGAGTCTGGACCAGACAATCCAGTGATTGACTTTATGAGCAAATGGATAGAGTAACAAGATGAATGTGTATGTTATTATCGTTGTTCGAAATACAAACTGTTTACAATGAAAGTTTTTATCTGACATGAAAGAAACAGTAATTGTACTTGTATAACATAATTATGAATTGAATTTCCCTTGGAGTTCATCGTAGTATGAACCTTCCCACACTGAGCGTCAAACATTGCATAAACGTCGGAGCTGTTTCCCGTCCATTCCACTATCCACGTACATGGTTCGTGGTATATGTACCCCGTCCATTCCACTATCCACGTACCCTGTTGTGATATACTAGTATTTATATCCCGTCAATTCCACTAACCATGTGCATGACCTGTGGTAATGAATTTACTTTCATTTTGTGCGAGTTCACTGGAGTATGAAACATTGTATGAACGTCGAAGCTGTATTCCGTCCTTTCCACTTTCAACGTGCAGGGTATGTGGTATATATATATATATTTGGTCGCTATGGTTAATATGTGCATAGTGGTGTTGTGTCAGATGTGTTCAGTAAGAATCAGTCAAGCTTGGTGTCAGTGTATCGGGACACGGGAGCTTGGCAATCGCTTATGCTCACCTCGGCAGTTCCCAATTTGAGTAGCTCAGGTACAAGTGATTTTGCAATCAAGTGGCATAGGTAAGGGCTGTGTTTCTGTACCGCTACACAAAATATGTCTAGATTCCAAGCATACTTACTGGTTAAGTCATTGTAGGCGTCACGGACGTAATGCCAATCTCAGGTGTAGATGTCTTGTTAGACAACGACGTAACAGATAAGTGTCGTTCAGGTGGATGCAGTCAGTCGTTAGTCGTTAGGCAGTTTCCGATAGTGGCTAGTCCAGATAATCCAGACATTTTCGCGGAGTGCGTCATTACTAGGTCTAGATGTAGCAGTCGTTCAGGAGGAGGTAGCCACGCCAAATGTGACAGGGCAGGCTAGTGACAGGGATACGTCAGGTGTTATCCGGGTCAATTGGAATCAGGAGTCTTTGTGTAGGGCTCAGAAGGAAGACGAATCGTTGAGGGTGATAAGGTGTCTTCAGGTGATCAGAAATGTTGGGAATTTTATGTTCATCGAGGTGTTCTAATGATAACGCATCTTCAGTCTGAGATAAACGATAGCGATACAAAGCAGGTTGTGGTTCCAAGAGAATGTAAAGATGATATCAGTATGGCTCTTGAGAGCTTTTTTGCTGGTCATCTTGGTAGGATTAAGACCTAAGAGCGGGTCAGTTCTGATTATTTTTGTAGGCGTTCTCAATGAGATCATCTATAGATAGAAAATAAGTATCCGCTTTCGAATAAGTTCTAATAGACATCCTCAAATATTGTATAAACTGGTCCAGTAGGACGAGCATAACTTATTCTTTTACCCATAATGTATTTGGTACAGTTTGTGATAACCATATATAATACAAACCGGTTTCTTGAAGGATGTCCTTTGCCATATTCATAGCGGAAAGGAGACGTTTTCACTGTTAATTGTCATCGACAGCATAATAGAATATAACCTGTGGTGGAGAGGTTTCCTTGTAGTAATTAGTTTACAACAGCACGATATTATTCTAATTTTAACTGTTATACTGTGGCAGTGTTGTATATATGTGTATATTCTGTATTTTAGATATTTGCATACATATAATGTTTTGTAATGAAATGTTGTTTTAACCTTTTATTGTGTTGAATTAAATTACATAAACCTGAATGGCGTGGAGTTTTATTTTACTTCAACTGGTTGTGGGGTAGGGTAGGGGATGTAGCTTGGCTCGGTCCATTGTTTAATACACCTTAAGCCTGATGGGCCTTGTTTAAAATACTAACACCCAGCATTAAATTTAACCGGCAGACCAGCCACTACACCTTGACCATGCTGATAACAAATATCTGCTTTGTGTTGTATTTTCAACTGAGAACGTTCTGACAGGTAAGTGATGTTTCTATACGTATTGTTATAATGTACATGCATCTATTTGTGTAATCATTTGTTGTGATACACAGTCTTAATACACATTTAGATAGGTCATTACATATTGTCATATAATTGGAGCCTTGTAAATGTTTTAACTAGGTCAGTAAGTTCCAAGAGAAATGTAACACTGTACATCTTCACCTTTCCTAAATGTTTCATTTGAGAATGAGTGAGTGAGTGGGTATGTATTTATGATGTATGTGTTTGCTTATGACAATGTTATTTATGTATAATGTAAAGCGTTCATAGGTATGTTATGTGTAACACATGATTCATGTTTTCTAAAGGTAACCCGTTTTAACTAAGTGAGTATATTTGTCTTTATATTTGTATTTAGATGCAGGCATCATAAGTCCTGTCATTTGTGTTGGTGAACGCAGTTGCATGAAGTTCAAAACGTATAAGACAATTCTAGCTGTTAGTCAACTGACCTATTTGCTAAATTTTAATTTAGCATTTTTTGTGAGTCCAAAGCGTTCATTTCGTGGAAACGTCTATTTCATACATTCAATATATAAAATGATAATAACCTGTGACAATGTATGAAATAGACGTTTCCACGAAATGAACGCTTTGGACTCATAAAACATTATTAGTGCTATTTTGTGGGAAAGTTTGTTTATTGAAATCAGGTTTTGTAAGCTATTGATCGAAGTTGCTTTTTGTATGAGACGTAGATGGACATAATGAAATCGCTTGTTTAGATCTTCACAATCTGTCTATTTCGTACACATTTATCATAATTACATCATATCTAGATCCAATGTAAGTTGGATATTCAAAGATGATTGAAACATAAATGAGAGTCATAATCGCTATGAATTAAAAAAAAAATATTCGATTTTGCCAATTTGGTATATGGATGAACAAACATCATTCCTCATTCTGTCGATTTTTATGATCGCCAAAATTATACATTTCTTCAGACTACCCTATTCCTGGTATGTTGGGGGAATTGTTCCCCAAACAACGAGCATGTTCAAGCTACTCAACGGTTTTTCTAACTGGTACTCTGGCTGGGGTGGAGAGGATGACGACCTTGTAAAAAGGTAGATTGTTATGTTTGTGTTTGTCCTTTTAGTTGTTAACATGCATCTATATTCTACCTTATGATGGTGGTCTGTATATACACTCTTCAAAAAAAAGAAACGTACAGGTAGTATGTTGTTCATTGAAAAATCCGGTATAGAAATTGGATATATGTTATTGGAAAATGTTGGTGGCCTGATATTCGACAAACGGTGCGTCAAAACGCAGCCATTATCGATTTGCAATGTCTTAAACGGCATTGTTTTCACACTTGTTCAAAAATGCCATGGCGGAAACCAGTAAAGCAAAATGCACGTGATAGTTATGGCATTCTAAACAGGTTGTAGTGGCTATAAAAAGGCAAGCACAAGCCAATAATTTGTCAGTCAATTGTCAACATTTTTCAAGTTCCAAAATGCCGAGACTCAGTGCTGCCGATCGGAACATCGTCATAGGACGTATCCAAAGAAGGGAATCGCAGTCTTCTGTGGCACGCCACTTCAACGTCCACCACAGCACTATTTGCCGGCTTTGTGACCGATACACACAGCTCAGTTCCACTGCAGACCGTCCGAGAACTGTCCGACCAAGAGCTACCACCCCTTCACAGGATCGCTACATTCGACTGTTCCACCTACGTCATCGCAATGCCACATCTACGGAGACTGCAGGACGCATCCCTGGTTTGAGGACGATATCGGACCAGACTGTCAGGAACCATCTTCGAGAGGCTGGAATCCGACCAAGAAGACCAGTTATAGTCCCTGTTTTGCAACAGATCTATCGACAGCGACGCTTGCATTGGTGCAATACCTTACAGCCTTGGCTTTTGAGTAACAGGGGGCATATCCTACACCACGAGATCTGACTTGGTTGTGGGTTCGGGGAAATTTGACAGCAAATCGCTACATGAATCAACTTCTTCAACCTCACCTTCTTCCAATCATTGATTGCCAGAGGGAGCTATTTCAACAAGACAACGCTCCACCGCACACAGCTTGTGTCACGGTAGACTACCTCCATAATGCCAACATCAACGCCTTGGCCTGGCCGTCGAGATCTCCAGATCTCAACCCAGTCGAACACCTCTGGGAGGAACTCGATCGACGTGTACGACAACGCCAGAACCCGCCGCAGACAACTGGCCAACGCGTTACAAGCAGAATAACGCAGAATTCCGCAGTACAGAATTCGTACACTTATCCAGTCAGTGCCTAGGAGACGCAGAACCGTTATTGTTGCCCGGGGCGGT